TTTGGCAAAGTTGGGCGACTGGCCTGCCTCCCCCTGGCCTGTATCCATTTTCCCCTCCCCGCCGCGGCCTGGTTATGGGTGTGGGCGGGGCTGTGGCCATTTGATCTGGACCTTATCTGCACTGGCACTGGACTGCATTGGACTTACTGGACCCCTGACCTGACCTGACTATAATTGACCCCCGGTTTCCGGCTATATCATCAGTCCCAGTCACATTTACAATGCCTTGCTGTGAGGAGAGGCTTAAGCCTGGGTGTGGTCACCGAGGGAGTCACCTTGCTGTTATTGCCACTGAACTAGATCTGCCGATACCAGCAGCCGTGAGAGGGTGGCTTGGTCATTGTTTTCTCAGGACATCGGCTTGAGACTCCTCTCCACTGCCGTGAGAGGACAGTGGAGCCCCAGTTCTGATCCGTGCCAAAATGGTGAACTGTCTCTTCTGGACTTTTAAATGTACCATCATTGAATCCTTAGCCTGACTCTATTTCCCCAGGCGAACTTGCAGGAATGTATTCACCGGCTGAGCTCTTTGCCTTGCGAGACTCCCCCCTCTCGCAAGCCTGGCCTTCCATGTTATCGAAGGCCTACCTCGATGAAGGGCTTTGGAACCCAGAGAGGTGGCATGTCGCGAAGAGGGGATTGAGGGGTTTTTTATGTAAAGTTTTAGCAAATGTCTTAAGGGGTTCCGGGGGGGGAGGGTTGGATCAGAAGTAAGGCCGTGGGTATGGGGGATAACCCACTAAGGGGAGGGCCAGGTAAGGCTGTGGAGCACGGCATGGGGGGTGGGGGCCCCGGGGTCAAGAGGGGGGATAAAGTTCATCCAGATAAGGTTTTTACCATCAGTACTGTGGGTGGGAGGGGTAGATATGGCGGGAGCAGGGGGCCATATCGTGTTAGGGGAGTGCGCGCCCGCTGTCTTCGAGCGGTGGCGCGCTCCGGCCCCCAAAGCTCCACTCGTTTTCCAGGTGGCGCAGATCCTCAGGGCCCTGGCCTCCGTCTGATGTTATGCAATGCCAGGTCTGTAGTAAATAAAGCCCCCCTCATTTGTGATCTTGTTCAGGAGGGGGGAGCGGACCTGGCAGGTATTACGGAAACCTGGTTGGGCCAAGAGGGGGGGTCCCTCTTGTTGAAATGTGCCCACCAGGTTTCCGCGCATTCCATCAGCCGAGGTTGCAGGGTAGGGGCGGGGGGGTAGCGGTTATTATTAACGAAGGTCTGAGACCGAGGGAGGCCACTGTTCCTCAGACGGCCGGCTGTGAATCCCTCCTTGTGAAATGGGGCCACGGGGTTCAGCTGGGTTTGCTGATCACATACCTGGCTCCCTGCCATGTGGCAGCAGCCCTGCCCGAGCTACTCAGTGTCATCGCCATGGTGGCGGTTGAGACCCCTAGGCTTATGGTCATGGGGGATTTCAACTTGCCGTCCGTTGGTGAGGCATCTGAGGTGGCTCGGGAGTTCATGGCTTCCATGACAGCCATGGACCTGACCCAGTTAATTCATGGCCCTACCCACACGGGGGGAAACACGCTGGATCTGGTTTTTGTCTCTGGACAGTGGTTGAGTGATCTCGAGATAGGGGATATAGTCACCGAGCCCTTGTCATGGTCTGATCACTCTCTCCTTCGTCTCGACCTTCGAACCGCTACACCCCGCCGCAGGGAGGCGGAGCCGGTAAGATGGTTCCGCCCCAGGCACCTGATGGAACCGGATAGGTTCCAGATGGAGCTTGGGCCACTCCCTGAGGATCTGGCACACGCCTCGACTGGAGACCTAGTGGCTGCCTGGGATAGGGCGGCCGCTGGAGCTCTGGATCGGGTCGTGCCTTTGCGGCCTCTGACCCGGCGCCGATCTCATTTAGCTCCTTGGTTCACTGAGGAGCTGAGGGAGTTGAAGCGCCGGAAAAGACGCCTAGAGAGTAGTTGGAGGGCCAGTCTTTCTGAATCTGACCGGACACTGGTAAGAGCCCATATTAGGAATTACCTAGTGGCGATAAAAGCAGCGAAATGTAGCTATTTTGCTGCTCTTATTACGTCATCAGATAATCGCCCGGCCGCCCTGTTTAGGGTGACCTGCTCCCTGCTCCACCAGGAAGCGCGGGAGGACCCCTTAGAGGGTAGAGCCGAGGATTTTGTTCAATATCTGTATGACAAAATCGCTCAGATTCGGGAAGATCTGGACTCCGACTGGATAGTCTCAGGGGGAGGGACTGGGGCAGGTCTTGAGAATGTTATCTGGGATGAGTTTGATCCTGTGACCCCTGAGGACGTGGACAGGATTCTGGGTAGACTGAACGCGACCACTTGTTTATTGGACCCGTGTCCCTCCTGGTTAGTGCTGGCTTCTCAGGAGGTGACACGAGGCTGGTTCCAGGGGATTATAAATGCTTCGCTGGGTGAGGGTGTCTTTCCTGCCGCCTTGAAAGAGGCGGTGGTGAGGCCTCTCCTCAAGAAGCCTTCCCTGGACCCGGCAATGTTGATAAATTATCGTCCGGTCTCCAACCTTCATTTTGTGGCGAAGGTTGTTGAGAGTGTGGTTGCGCAACAGCTCCCCCAGCACCTGGATGAAACGACGTATCTGGATCCATTCCAGTCGGGCTTCAGGCCCGGGTACAGCACGGAAACGGCATTGGTCGCGTTGGTTGATGATCTCTGGAGGGCTCGGGACAGGGGGTGCTCCTCTGTCCTGGTCCTATTAGATCTCTCAGCGGCTTTTGATACCATCGACCATGGTATCATGCTGCACCGGTTGGAAGAGTTAGGGGTGGGAGGCACTGTGTTGCGGTGGTTCTCCTCCTTTCTCTCTGACCGGTCGCAGTCTGTGTTGACAGGGGGACAGAGGTCGACCCCGAGGCCCCTCATATGTGGGGTGCCGCAAGGGTCGGTCCTCTCACCTCTCCTGTTCAACATTTATGTGAAGCCGCTGGGCGAGATCATCCGTGGTTTCGGGGTGGAGTACCATCAGTACGCTGACAACACCCAGCTGTACATCTCCACCCCGGATCACCCCAACGATGCCCTTGAAGTGATGTCCCGGTGCCTGGAGGCCGTACGGATCTGGATGGGGAGGAACAGGCTCAGGCTCAACCCATCCAAGACCGAGTGGCTGTGGTTTCCGACATCCCGATATAGCCAGTTGACGCCATCACTGACTATTGGGGGCGAATCACTGGCCCCCACGGAGAGGGCTCGCAACTTGGGCGTCCTCCTGGATTCACGGCTGTCTTTAGAAGAGCACTTGACAGCCGTGACCGGGAGGATTTTTTATCAGGTCTGCCTGATTCGCCAGTTGCGTCCCTTTCTGGATCGGGACTCGTTACGCACGGTCACTCATGCCCTCGTCACCTCCCGCCTGGACTATTGTAATGCTCTCTACATGGGGCTCCCCTTGAGGAGCACCCGGAGGCTCCAACTGGCGCAGAGTGCGGCCGCGCGGGTGGTAATGGGAGTGACATGGCGCTCCCATGTAACACCTCTCCTGCGCGAGCTGCACTGGCTCCCGGTGGTCTTCCGGGTGCGCTTCAAGGTTTTGGTTACCACCTTTAAAGTGCTCCATGGCTTAGGGCCTGGTTATTTACGGGACCGCCTACTACCACCAATAGCCTCCCACCGGCCAGTACGCTCTCATAGAGAGGGACTCCTCCGGGTGCCGTCAGCCAAACAGTGTCGACTGGCGGCCCCTAGGGGGAAAGCCTTCTCTGTGGGGGCACCTACCATCTGGAATGAGCTCCCCCCGGAGATACGGAGGATCCCGGATCTGCACTCCTTCCACCGTGCTGTGAAGACCTTTTTATTCCATCAAGCGGGCTTGGCCTGATCTCTTCCCTTTTTAAATACGTAAATTTTAATCTGTTTTTAAATTATTGGGGCATTTTAATTTGTCTGGGCCAAATAATTTAATTTGATTTTATCGGGTTTTTAAATTTTGTGTATTTATGTATTTTATTGTTGGCTGTTCACCGCCCTGAGTCCTTCGGGAGTAGGGCGGTATACAAATCAAATAAACCTAAACCTAAACCTAAACCATAAGAGACCGCCTTCTGCAATCAACAACCTCCCACTGGCCAATACGCTCCCATAGAGAGGGGCTCCTCAGGGTGCCGTCGGCCAAACAATGCCAACTGGTGACATCCAGGGGGAGAGCCTTCTCTGTGAGAGCACCAGCCCTTTGGAATGAGCTGCCCCTAGAGCTTCGTCTTAGCCTCGACTTACGTACTTTTCGCCGTGACCTAAAGACCTTCCTGTTTCAGCAAGCCGGACTGGCCTAATATGAATTTTAAGTGAGTGTATGTGTGTTTTAATTTGAGGGCCAAATTGTATATATTTGTTTTAATTGGTTTTAAATTTTATAAATTCATGTGTTTTAATGTGGCTGTACACCGCCCTGAGTCCCCTGGGAGAAGGGCGATATAGAAATCCAATAAACTCTAAACTCTAAACACTCTAAACTCTAAAATAATCTGTCAGTTAATGGTCTGTATGGCAGTTTGAACGCAGCACATTCATTGTGCTTATGTTCTCAGAAGGATGAGTTTATATCTAAAGAGTGTTGCATATTTTTCCAGAACTTAATGTCATCAGTTGTTGCTGACACAAATAGATTTATTTTAAAAATGCAGCTTCAGCAAGGTTCTCTCTACAGAAATATCTACAAAAGTTTTGTGCTAGATCTCAATAAGAGTAAAATTTTCAAAGATTTCACACACACCCAAAACCCAGACTTCAAGGAAATATTTATTTCTCTCTGCTGCCAAATGTTTTTCTAATGCCAGTAGCAATGTTTTTCTTTTTATGTGTGAAAATGAATAGGGTAGCAGTGGCAAAGAGGATGTGGAGCTAAGTTTTACAATGAAAAAGAGGCTTTTTTTGTTGTTGCACTTAGAAAGAATAGTAAAGACTAAAGGTAGATGTACTCTTTTTTTTTTTTTAAGCCTCTGAAAAAAAGCTTCATCAGAGCAGCAATCAGGCTCAAAAATCTAATGTATGCATCTTTTTCTTCTCCAGGCAATAAAAAAACCGATTATGTTAATTTCTATCAAGGTTTATGGGATTGCGCTGGTGATGTTCCTGATGAGCTGTCATTCAAACGTGGTGATGTTATCTACATTCTCAGTAAGGTACTGTATTCAACCCCTGATAAGTATGGGGAGATAGTTGAAATAAGACCAAAGGGAGAAAAAAAAAAAGCAAACTTCAAGGTCGTCAGGAAATGGGCATTTCCTTTGCATCTTTCACACTCGGTGAGAAGTTCCTTGCACATTAATTATTTTGTCAATTTAATGTAACCACATTTGAAGTGTTATTGTGCAACAGGAATTGTCTTTAAAACTTATTTATCTCTGTTTGGAATCTTGGTTACCCACCATTAAGTAACTTCCCGCTGAGACAATGCTCCTATTGCTTGTAAAATGTAGCTTTGTCAATATAGTATGAAGTGGATGTGAATGTATATGTTTTACTTCCTTTTCTTTGGTACTTTTTATATATGCTGATCTGAGACAGGGTGGGCGTGGAGAAGAGAGGGAGAGAGAGATTTATATTGGTAAACTTTCACAGTTTTAGCCTCAAGAAGAATCGAGGTTCTCCATGTGTATGCACATGGGTGTGATGTGAAAATTTATATGATTTTCAAAGTACCAATTTCTTCTTCTTTTTAGTAACCACACTTATTTCCTGTATTTATTTATTGCTCTACAGTCTCTAAAAGAGATAAAATTCTGCAACATGGCAATTTGTGTAAGACTAAAAGCTTCACATTTTTTTTTACATTTAAGCCCTATTTTATTGTGAAGAAAGATGTAACCGCAACTTTATCTGGGAGTTGGCTTCTGCCTTAAACCACTCTGTAGAGGTATACCTTTCAGATAAGTTTGCATGGAAAAGTGTTTGGGGCATTTTCCAACAGCCCCCTCCCCCCCTTGTTTTTACCACAATGTACAAATCTTTGCAGAACTTTTTTAAATTCCTGCCATACCAAAGCTAGAGGTCATTCATGACATCAGGTCCCTGCCAGTTTTCATCCAATACATTCCTAAGAATGTCAGCTGTTTCCAGACTAATATTTTCATAATATTCTCTGGGCCATGCCCTTTGTAATAGTAAAATGCAAAATGTTTCCCACTTGAGGTAAGAATAGCTAGAAGTGATCCAAAAAGATCTAGTGTTACTAACAGCAATTTGATAATGAATTTGTTCCATTTGTTGTAAATCTAACAACTAAGTTACTCATGTGTTCCACTAACTCTACAGTCTTCATTTATCATTTCTGTCCTCCTGACACTCCTTGGATGAAAAATTATTTTCATCCCATATTACAGATGGAAAACTGGGCCAACAGAGTATGTTACTAATAGAAGAAGAGGTTGATATAAAATTACTTACATGTAAATCATGTCTTACCTCCTTCTTTTGTATTATTTAATTCATTAGGTGGCTGCTAGGCATAGAATGAGCAGAGCAATCTTCCTACATGATATTTAATAAGAAGCCCCTTTGAACCAAATGGGATAGTTTTTTTTTTAAAGAAACAGTACATTGGATTACATTTTAATGTTTAGCATTCAAGTCTTGATACTTAATTGAGTAAACTAAAGGTTGAGTAAACTAAAGATAAACTAAAGGCTAACCCAGTTTAGAACACAGAGCATAGAATAATAGGTTTGGAAGGGACCTTGGGAGTCTTCTAGTTCAACCCTCTGCTCAGGCAAGAAATCCTACACCATTCTGGACAAATATTTGTCTAGTCTCTTGGTAAAAACTTCCAGTGAAAACCTCCAGTGATGGAGCTCCCACAACTTCTGGAGGTAAGCCGTTCCATTCAAAGGTGGTAATCAGCAGGTTCTAACAAGTTCTGGAGAACTGGTAGCAGAAATTTTGAGTAGTTTGGAGAATCAGTAAATACCACCTGTGACTGGCCCCAACCCCATCTATTCTCTGCCTCCCAAGTCCCAGCTGATTGGGAGGAAATGGGGATTTTGCAGTAACCTTCCCCTGCCATGCCCACCAAGCCACACCTACCAAGCCATGCCATGCCCATCAAGCCACGCCCACAGAACCTGTAGTAAAAAAATTTGAATCCCAGCACTGGTTCCATTGGTTAATTGTTCTCACTGTCAGGAAATTTCTCCTTAGTTTTAGTTTGGATCTCTCTCTAAAAATCTTCGTCCCGTTACTTCTTACTGCCCTCAGGTGGTTTGGAAAATAAGCTGAGCTCTTCTTCTCTATGACAGTCTTTCAAGTGCTGAAAGACTGCTATCATATCACCCCTAGTTCCTCTTTTCATTAGATTAGACATGAATTATTAGATTAGAATTATTAGAATAATTCCCTTATTCATTGTATTCATTGTACAATGATTAGGGCTATCAAGCCCTAATTGATAGCCACTTTATCATCTTTGTTGCTTTTGTCTTTCTAGGATTTAAACATCTTTTTTATATTGTGACCACAGTTGGATGCAGGTATTCTAAGTGTGGTCTCACCAGTACAGTACAAAGTGGTATTATCACTTCACATGATATTGAAACTATTCCTCTATTAATGTAGCCCAAGACAGCATTAGCTTTTTTGGCAGCTGTAGCACACTGTTGGCTCTTACTTAAATGGTGGTCTTCCAGGACACTTACATCCTCTCACAGTTACTACTGTTAAGGCTGGTACCACCTATTCTATACCTGTGCATTTGGTTTCTCTTGCCTAGAAGCTTACTTTTCTCACTCATTGCATTTGTTGGATGCGACCCAAGTGTTCAAATCTGTCAAGATCCTTCTGAGTCTTGAGTCTATTTGAGTCTAACACTTTAGGTGTTAGCTATTTACCCCCAACTTGGTGTTGTCTGCAAATCTGATGAGTTCCTTCATCTAGGTCAGGGATGTCAAACTCACAGCTCACAGCCTGGAGGCATCACGCGCTGGCCATGCCCATGCCTGATTTAGTGAAGGGAGGGGAAGTCCCAATACGTCACATGATACCGCCGTGAAAACATGAGTTTGACATCCCTGATCTAGGTCATTTATGAAGATGTTCAAGAGCAATGGCTGCAAGACAGAATCTTGAATTCCATTGCACGCTTCTCTCCATGTAGATCTAGTTTCATTGACGATTGATTACATGCTGAGTGTGGTTGGTTAGCCAATTGCAAATCCATCTGGTGATGGTACTATCTATCCCACATTGTCCTGTCCAAGAACAATGGCCTACCAAGAATAGACTATGATCTACTTTGTCAAATGCCTTACTGGAATCTAAATAAACTACATTCATAGCATTTCCCTTATTCACTAATTTAGTCACTTTATCAAAGAAGGCAATCAGGTTTGGCTGGCAAGATTTGTTTTTGACAAATGCTGTGTCCTGTGATAATATCTCACTTATTTCTAGATGCTCTTGTAACTAATTTATAGGTTTCTTCTACTAAGTAATTTTGTAGGTTTCATGTAATTAAGCTCCTAATTTTTTAAAACTACCGTGTTTCTCCAAAAAACCGATCTACTTTGAAAAGAAGTCCCATCATGTTTTTGAGTGCATGCAAACAAATTAAGCTCCACCTACAAATTAGCCCTAATTAAGACCCTGCCCACCTGCCCACACTGGGGTGCAGGGGGTGCAGTGAAGCACACAGGTAAAAAATAAGCTAGGATGGGGGTGGTGGAGCTGCCCTACTTACCAGGCCTCGCACACCCCAACACCTGCCTTGACACCTTCTGCGGCTGCTTCTTCTGCAGCCGCTTGCCGCCACTCGCACGCATCGCCCTGGTCTCTGTTTCATCTTCAGATGCCTGCCAGAAGGCATCTGAAGGCGAAATGGAGGCCAGGGCGATATGTGCAAGTGGTGGCAAGCGGCTGTAGAAGAAGTGGGCCAGCAGCCGGCTCCTGCTGGGTGGGCCTGTCGGTGCCACCACCATGAGGTGTGTCAATAATTAGAACCCTCCAAAAAGAAACCCATTTTTTTGGGTGGTCAAAAAAAAATAAGACCCAGCCTTCTTTATGAAGAAACACTGTATTTTTATACCATTTTTAATGGTAAGATTCATTGTTATTCAATTCAGGATTGAAAATGTTCCATTATAAAAGGGAATATGAGTTGGAATTCGCTTGGTCTCTAACCTGTCTAATACTTTGTTAAATGTATTTGGAATCTTTGTCTTTTTATCTAGATCTTGCAGCTTGGTTATATTTTATGATCTGCAGTTACTTAATGTCTAAAATTGAAAAGAACTTTAAATCAAAATTCAACTTTTTTTTCCCCCAGTTTGAGTATTGCTGTTATAAATGCTTCTGCAAAATACAGTCTTCTATCAGCTCTGAATTTAGGAAACAAAAATGTTCAGAATAAAATTTATCCAGTTCTGAGAGTTATTAACCAGAGAAAGAATTTAACAGTACTGCTAAGGTAAAATAATCTAAAGCCTTTGAAGCTTATGAACTTGATCAAACATTTCTTAAAGCTGTCGATATTTCGTAATACTATAAAAAGCTTTAGCTTCTTGGCACCTGGTGATCCTTGAGTTTATTTTATTTATTTTTTTTGAAAAATAATTCTTTACCCCATCTAGTGGTTGAAAATTAGAGGTGCGCTTGTTAATTTGTGGAGTTCAAAAATGATGTCAGAAATTTAACTTGGCTTCATCTTAATTATTACTGTTATCCCCCCATCATATATCAGACATTTATTGGCATTAATTCTAGTAAAATCTTATTCTCATGAGAAAAAATTAAAGGTAAGCATTATACGATGTAGGAAGAATACAATATAAATTAAAAGATAAAACAGATACAAATAGTATTTCAACAGAACAGTTAACAAAAGAAATCAAAATATATTTATGCCAGTAACAACTTTGTAGAAAGTTCTGCCAAAGTGTTAATGGATTTGGGCATCTTTACTGGAAAATTTATCTTGTTCCAAGTTACTCTAATATTTATGATAATTGTACTTTGATGATGAAAAAATACAAAATCTTGGATAGCTTTTAAAAATTACCATATACTGTTTTAAGCAAACTTAATTTATAGTTTCATTTATGAATTTGAATACCCACTGCAAATAGTACAGAATTTATATTTTAAATTCTGCAACATTGCACACTAAAGTTTTCTTATAGTAATTGGATTCCTG